TATCCTCGTTGATTGTTTTGTATTTTTAAAAGGTCGTTCCGTAGTTCAGTGACAGCGCGTATTTGTCAAAGACTGATTCAAAGTAGGCTCAGTGATAATATTACAAAGTTTGGTGACACATTGATCGGTTTTGCTGCATTAAACGCATATTATTTAGAAAATAATCCTTTTATAGTGAAGTGAAGGTTATTTTTTCAACATTTCCGTAGCAGATCCGAAAAGTGAGAAAAGCATATCTTTCAACAATGAAGGTAAGTGCAAACATGTAGTTAATAAGGTATTCAGTGTTAATTTCCAATTCATGATATAAATGAGTTACCAAACCACAGATTCCTAGTCCTGACTACTTCAAACTAGGGAGACAAGATTTTTCAGTAATCCAAGGAACACATCTTAGTCCTTGTTACTTTTTATGCCTTGTTGATAGTGACAAGACTCGGCTTTGTCCACCGAGGATGATCTTGAAACATGGAAAAAATGAGTTAGTTAGTCTTCATCTATGTGATTCCTAATCTTCTATTCGTTGTTCCCTAGTTTTAAGTGGTTAAGACTAGGGTTCTGATGCGTGGTCACTATCGGTGTCATTCTTTAATTTTTTTGCTAAGGAATCCAATTTTGACTGACAAAGGGGCGCGCCTTTGGAGGGTGTTCCAACACTCCAAAGGGTATAAATAGCGGAAGGCAAGAATGACAACTGTATCAAAACCGAATACTTCATCATTTCTCAATAGTGATGAAGTAATACGACATGCACTGAGGGCACGCGATATACTACAATAGATCAAATTACTGGTCGCAGTGGTATTAGGTCCCTAACAGAGGAAAAAAAAATGAGTTACCTATGGAAGTTATTTGTTTCTGGCAATTTCAAAAATAGTTTAAATTATAAGTTATCAAATAAAATTTCAGTTGAAATTGACAGGCGGAAGCTTTTTAAACTGTGGAAAGATTTTAAGGGATACGACATTGATAAATTAAACGTTGTGTCCAGAGAAGTTTTTGACTGTTACGGCATTGATTATGTTTCAATGCCAGAAGTGGCAGCTGAAGTCAACAATTTTGTGAAGGCGACATGCAATTTCCGGATTTTTGTCTGTGAGGGCACAAAATATGTATTTTTTTTTACTAAATTTGTGAATAACTCACACAGGCTTGCTTTTTGGACATTTTGAAAAAAGTTTTGTATTTTGATAAAATACAAATATTTGTAGACCATTATAGTCTTCTAAAACCTATATTTTTAAAAATACGCTAAGGAATATAGAGGATTGGTGTGTTGATCAAAGATTTTTGTAGTAAAATTATCTACAACTTAGCTCAAGACACCACATACCTATCTTGTAAATGTAAAAAGTTAGATTTTGCAGCGCTACCTGTGGTGGAGTTCCGAACTAAAACCTATCACTAGTCTTTGTGCCTTATTTTATACAAAAACTCTGTTAAAGATATCATAGTAAAAAAACCAACAGTGAAGGCGCAAATAAAAAAGTTCGTGATATTGAGCATTCAAACCACTGTGCGATGGGGCAGAAGTTCGTCTTGAACACTCTTCCAAAAAATTCGTTCTAGCTACGAATGAACTGAAAACCCAACAAAGTTTTGTAAGAGAAAGTTATAAACCTTGAATGAGGGATCCTGTGTATGGAATTAGTTTGATTCCAAATGCTTGGAGTTTTAGAAATTTTAGTTTTTACAACTGCGGTCGAACTTTTGCCCCAACTTGCTCTATTTTGTTAGTTTATTGTTTATACGGCTACTAGGGTAAATGGATGTAATGTCGGCCTAAATGCTCCTAATTTAGGCCCATACATAGATTTAGAAGTAGACTAAATTTTCAATAGCGACCAAAACTAGCCATTAGTACCATCTAGATAAAATTTATAAATTGCAGATTTTTAGCGATGGGCCTAATCTTAGATCCATAGGCCAACATTAGGGCCATTTCCCCTACATTATCAAAGTTCAAAGCTGTTCAATAAGTTGTAAATACTCGGAGATGAAATTTGAAATTTTTACCATTTTTACAAAGAAGGGTGTACATGTCGCTTGGAAGACTGACTTTCGATCCGGACCCGAAGGGCTACCAATCGACTCAGCTCGAAGAGATTGGAAACAACCACTAAATGAAAACTGCCATGGTCCCATAGAAAGCATTTAAATTTTTATGGAATCGGTCCGATTTGTACAGACCATAAGACTAAATCGAATAAAACCCATAATGTGGCACATCAAATTAAATGTTAATACAAAAATAGTTCAATAGTAGTCATTTGGAGTACCCAGGACAACACTGGAAACATTCCGAAAAGTTCCGGGTACCCCCGGGGAAGTGGCCAGTTTCTTAATATGGACAAAACTCATCATGCGATACCTCAAATCACATGAGAATTGCCATCTCAGATCATATGAGCACTATTGTTGGAATTTCTATTAGTAAGATTGGGTCAGATCTCACTATAGGTGGATTAATTCAGGTTTTTATTTAACTCACCACCCTGAATAAAATGCTAAGCCCACAGAGCTTACAGTAGCAAACAGCAACAGCAGCGACAACAGCAGCGACAACAACGGCAATCTCACGATATGGCGTCGCCTAGGGGTGACACGTTACCAGCTGATGATGATAGTTTCCGTTGTTGCTTCTAGTATATACCCTTGTATGGCAGATGGGAAAGAAGACGACACTCAAGCCCAGTACGTGGTTGTTTCCCTCAACACAGGAGACACATAACGCACGGAAAATATCTCATACTATACATACCACAAGGGGCTAGAAGCCAGAGATCAGTTACCATAGAAACTGGATTCTCCTATGAGAAACTGCCCCAGCAAGTAAACAGTCCTGCAGCTGAAGTGGGAGAAGTGTGTGGAATACACGAACAAAAAATAGGGTGAAAAATACAAACAATCCTTGTCGCAGTGTTAGAATTAAAATGATTTTTCTTCTGCCAACTTACGGCAAACCATTCCCTGCTGAAAAGTTTATTCGATGTAGCACTGGACCAACATGAAACATAACAACTTTACCCCGAAAGGCTCGTTGAAGACAGACAAGGTCTGTGTCTACCCTCAACGTTCACATCCCATCGGATGATACGAAAGTACAGTCACAGAAGACAACACACTTCGTGGAAAATCTGTTTGGTTTCCACCAGAAATATTTGCAAAATAAATATTCACCCTCTGCTCTCTCTATATATGTGCTGCATTAAGGGTGTTTAAAAGTGGGTGGCTCGAGCAAATATGGCAGCCAACACCAAAGCTCGACACGTAGGGTGCCGCGTTGCCTTGACGACACCATCGCCGTTCGGTCTTGGTCCACCATTCAACAACATTCGTTTTTTGCCAGATGATGATGATGATGATGATGATGATGATGGTACTCTCTTCTCTCTACATTCAATTACCTTTTTGCCTTTGCCTTCTCATCGTCGTTGCTGGCGTCGCCCTCGTCGATGTTATCGTGGTTGTCGCCGCCAACGTTGTCATCGTTGTCGACATCATCAACATCAGAGGATTTTGCGGTGGATGATCATAGTTGGAGTTTTCCGGTGGCTGACGCCTTTGCTGCTGCTGAAATGGCTTTTGGTTTTTTTCTTTCTCACCATCAACCGTAATGAAAATGTGATCGCTTTTCGTGTCGGTCACATTGTCAGACTGGAGGTTCAGCACACGTTTGAGAAGTCTACAATAGTGAATGAAATCGTCAATATGTACTACGTGCACACAAAAAAGGTTTCATATTTATGATAAACTCACATTGTTAAGCATGCTTATCTTTCCAATTTAATGCTGCACGTGTTTGTTTTTGATTTGTTATTCGTATAATCTAATATTTGTTGAGAATTTTGTAAGTGAATATATTCATAACCATACACTTAGAAATAACTATTTTTACACGAGACATAATCCATCTTTGAACGTAATCAAACATAATAAAATAAAATACCATAAGTGTACGATAACCCACATCATAGAACTATTCCACAAATGGTTTTAATGATACCCCGAACACGTCGTTGTGCAAAATAACCATACAAATTTTATTAGGTTTAAATAAAATTAAGTGTCCTGAAACCGAAACATACAAACTCGACTAAAATTCTCGTTTCTTTCAATTGATTGTTATGTCTTAAAGGCCGCTTACATGTGTCGGACTCAGGACACCGAGATTGACTTTTTCTTAGTGTGTATCAATTGGAAAACAAACAAATTTTGTCTGCTGTCTACTAGTATGCATGTTCTTCTTTAAAGCTTAAGATAAAGATATAAAGATATTGCATCCCCTGTAGTTACGCCAATAGTTTTAGGGGTGATCGATTGATTTCGTTTAGAAGTTTGAGATGTTTATTTGTTTGCTTGATCATGATTCGCCATAAAAACTGCCGACGGATGGTTCGATTGAGACCGGTTTGTTAGGGTTTTGATTTATTTGGTCTACTATTAAAATTCGTGTTCTTTTTGTTCCGAGTGTTCTGTATTGCAAATTTGGCACTATTTTATAGTTTCTGGACTGGCAAATAATTGGATAATAATGTTTTCGCACACGTCTCAAAATAGATAAATCTACATATTTGAAAGTGGTTGCAACTTTATTATAGTCTTGGCAACAGTTACGTTTTCAAGCTGCTATAACAATTGGCATGCATATATTTGCTCACAAAATGCTAATTTTTTTAAAAGTTTTCACTCAGTGTTTGGATAATTTAGACTGCTCCCACTCCTGGACCCTACATATCGACCCATCAAACTCATGGACGGGTACCTACTGCTTTACTTAGGCTTGATCAGAGATTTTATGCCTCAGAAAATCTCTGAGATTGAAGCCAGGACTTTTGGGGTGAGAGGCTATCACGCTTACCACCACACCACCGGCGCTGCTAGCCGTTTGGAAATAAAAACCCACATTATTGTTCTTGTAAAACTAAAGAATACAAAAGTGTTTAAATCTAGAAAATTATATCGGAATTTGAGTGGTACCGTAAAATGGGGTATCTTTGATAATGCGGGTAACTTTGATAGTAGAATATAATGATTTTATTTACTCTCTGCATTTTTTCCGAATTAGAAACATTGGTTCCGTATTGTAGCTTAGGGCATTTCCCTTGATATCACACATAATTTTTAAATAGTTTGTGTTATATGTTTGCCAAACATATTGAATAACAATTTTTTTGCTTTTTGCCTGTTTTAAAAGAACTGAAACCATCACTTATGAAATGTATTTCTGATATAGCCATCACAAATTCAGTGTTATCTTATGATTGCTTATGATGTTTCATACAAAATGTCATATTTCTTGAACTAAATTGTTTGAGATTCGCACTTGTTTTTCTACATTCATCGAGCATCATCAAAGTAACCCCAAATCAAAATACTGATGTTCGGTCACAAGACTAAAAAAATGCAATAATTTTCGTTAAACATATTATTAACGAATTGACTCCTAAGTACTTGTTAAAAAATTTTTCGAGAAACATTAATTGATGTAAGCAATATTTAGAATATACTTCAAAGAACTATCAATGTTACCCCGTTTTACGGTACTTCGTATCCAATTATGAAAAATTTATGTTTCATGCATTGACATTAAATATTTTATGGATTATTATTTTCATAATACTAACGTGCATTATATATTGCAAATTCTACCGACTCCTGCGTTACTAATATTCTTCAGACTTTTCTGAAAAAATACTTGATTCATTTCCTTGGTCACTTATTACGGTAAGTGTAATACTTTGGAGTTATAAAAATATATAACAATTGCACGTCAAGTTAAAACTAAACTTGCATTTAATGTTTTACTTTAATGATGAAACCAGAACTTCAATGTATTTTAAAATTAAGATTGGATCTCATGACTACTGAAAATGTGTTCCTCGACGAAAATTATGCATTACTGAATTGAATTTTACATCTTTTATTATTAAATTCGCACAAGAGCACACATTTGAAATCATTTGCACAATGTTACATATTTGAATGAACTCGTGATGTACTTTATCGTAAATATATATGTAATAAAAATATTATTATAGAAAGTAATGGAAATAACAGCCACTGCTACCCTTTGACTACACTTTGATTCTTCATATCGAAAGCACTGATGATAATATTGATAACGACAGATACTACCGAGACGCATATCAGTACATTGTTTATTATGTCTGACTTTCGCTGTTCTTCGAGTTTGTTGATATTGAATAGCGTACCCAGCACGATGATAATGATTGCTTGTAGAATCTAGAAGTAGAAGACAATTATTATAATCATAATAATTATAGCAATATTTCAATTTAATTGCACCTGCAGTGAAATCGATGTGATGACCAAAATTAGCAGAAAGTTGTAAAAAGGATGGGCTGATCCAACGGTTAGAAGGTATTTGAGTTGTGCGGCGTTCGCTGTTAGCAAAGCCAGATCTAGCATACCCTGAATGAAAGTTTTCCGCGTTGCGTAGTCATTGATATCTAGTTTGTTTGATTTGTTAGACTGTGGAATAACGATCGTATAGGATAAGATTTTCCCATTTTGTGAATTTGGTACTTCAAAATTTACCTCAGAAGTGGAATGGTCCGATGGACGAGTGGTCTGGTTGTCTGCCATCTCGATAGATGATGAAGACTAATTGATAACTGACATCGTTGAAGTTCACGTCAATGTGGGCAGGCATGGAAGGAGATAGTAGAATTTTGCTGTTACCTAAGTCATTGAAATATCATACTCACACTATCTTCTCATATTAGCTATCAAATCATAGTAGCCATTCGAGTACACGTTCGGTACTTAACGGAAAAATATAAACGGTACCTAACAACGATTCAAATTGAAAAACTTGTACTGAAATCGATTAACCTAAGATTATTGAGGAGCAACGGGTTTATTGAAAATTTCACAAAATATTGAAAAGTAGTAATTGATTATTTTTAGATTCAATAGGGCATATTTTTTTGCTATTTGCAACATCATTGCCAATATAAAAAACTTTAATAATCAAGTAATAAAGACCAACCAGTATGCAATGTTTTAAAAAATTGCATGTGGATCCGAAAATCTATACATCAATCAGAGCAAAAAATCACTAGGTTATATAAGATAGATGTTGGGTACTGAAGAATCAATTAAATATATTTTTAAGCTCAAGGTTATTCAAAATACGTTTCAAACACACCTTCAACGTTTTGATTTTTTTACTCGTAAAGTATATGAAGAACACCACAGAAATTCTGAGAAGAATTAAAATTAAATTCTGATAACTTCATTAATAATCCTGATCTGAATTCACCGGAAATGGTAAGTTTCTGAAAGTAGACCTAGAGCTCTGCGATTTTTTCTTAATTGTATCGAATATTGAGCATTGAGCACAATTACCATTTTCTAAAAGTGATCACATAAAACTGCACAGCACAGTCAAAAGCAGTACACAAAACTATTTCAAGTTTAACATTTATTTGAACATTTATTATAATAAATAATTCCCCGTTACGTGGTCGACATGGGTTAACCATAGAGGTAACTCTAAGACCAGAAGGTCCCGAAGAAACGAGCTCAACTTTTTGGCTCAGCTCTGGTACTATCTTCGGTCCCAAGCTAATCGATTCACCCCTTGAAACATAGGAAAATCCATTAACCCCTCATATTATCTGTCAAACTTTCATAGCGAATCAAAACAAACATAGTGTAGTACTGGAATTTATACTAGAATGGGATACGTTAATCGATTTGCTTGGGACCAATAGGCTAGTCAAGTAGTGAGCCAATTTAAAATCGTTAGTTTCGTATTGATTGTTGGGTTAACTGGTTCCGTATAATCTCTGGAACGTTTCTTCATGATCTCTTTATTCTTCTTCTATTCTTTCTTCTGTGATTTCATCGCTTCTTAAATGTTCTATTCCCACACTTCACAAGGGAACCACTTCACTTTGTCGGTAAGGCCAATGTAGCGATAGTCATAGTTCCAGGTCCGAGGAGTGGTACAAAAACGCGCGCGCAAAATTTTCTGGTGGTCCATCAAGCGAGCCTGCACCATTATTGAGCGGGGCAGCCACAGTCTTGGCGAAATACCAATTTCTTTTAAAACTCCATGTCACTTTTCTGCCCGCTCGACCACTCTTCACAATTGTCACTGCAGTTAATTTACACCTCTGGCTCGCTTGATTTTTTGTACGTATTTGGCCAACGCAAGATTAGCGCGGCTAGAACTTACGAATTTAATTTTTTGGTGATTTTTTTTTCCAACCGTTTGCGGTGTATCTCACGTTGACCTGTACATTTTTTAAACTTGTTTAGGTGAGAAAACTTATGGTATTTTTAAGCTGTGGTTTTTACTTTATTTATTGTTTTATTCCGTAAGATTTACAGTAGTTTTACCTATATTTAACTATACTATCCCGCGAATCGACACCAAACGTCACTTCTCCGGACTATTAATTTATCAAGGAAACCTGACCCTATTCGACCATCCCTTTTTATAGTGGTCGATGAGTCAGCGCAATTGAAGCGACCCCATCATGATTAATATCACAAACATAGATGACGACGATGACGGTGAATCACGATGATGGACGAACGATGACAGGAGTGATGACGGAACGATGACAGGCTATGAGGACTCTATCGTCAATCTCAAATTTGTAAATGTGAAAATGGGGTAAAGCTTCCAAACGCATTTATAGTAAATGAGCTTATTGAATTTGGGTTTCCTGCATACGAATTAGATGATAGAGTCTTTGTGCGAAGCGTATTTATAATCTTGACAAAGTTGATTAAAATACAAAGTTGATTATCGCTATACTTCTTCCAAAAATCTAAAAATGGTTGTTCGTGAAATATCCTGTGATGTTATTAGAAATTGTCTGCATTTAGGCACAACTGCGTATTTTAATAAATCTCAGCTGGAGTTGCTCTTCTAGACATAGAAGAAGCATTCGAAAGTGTTAGGCATGAAGGTTTTGCTAAATTGAAAAAAGTTTCATTTTCCACTCTGTATTATGAAATAAGTTTAAAATTAATTAACTGACAGAACTCTGCAGGTAAATTATCAATATTCCAAATATGAAAGGCTACCTGTTAGAGCTAGAGTCCCACAGGGTAGCATTTTTGGGCCTATATTGTTTAACATTTTCACTTCGGACCTCACTGATTTGCTTCGGGGCTTGCCACAAATCTTTGTTCGCCGATGACACAGGCATTTCTGCTAAAGGAAGAAGTCTTCGTGTTATTTGCAGCAGACTGCAGAAAAGTTTAGATATTTTCTCTTTTTATTAACAAAAATGGAAGATTTCTCCCAACGCTTGCACAACTCAACTTATAACATTCCCACATAAGCATAGAGCTTCGTTTTTGAAACCTAGTAGTAGTCACATAGTCACTATGAACGGAGTTCCAATTTCCTGGTCAACCCAAGTGAAATATCTTGGATTAGTACTAGACTAAATTAACTTTTAAAGATCACATTGTGGGCATTGAAGCCAAATGTAACAAATATATAAAATGTTTGTATTCTCTTATAAATAGGAAATCCAAACTTTGCCTGACGAATAAACTTCTATTATTTAAACAAGTTTTTAGACCGACCATGCTTTACGCTGTGCCAATATGGTCTAGTTGTTGCACGACTAGGAAATAAACACTTCAAAGGATTCAGAACAAAATTCTGAAGATGATTTTGAAGTTGCCTCCCTGGTAAAGTACTACCGAGGTACATAGAATTTCGAATGTTGAGATTTTAGAACAAATGTCAAACAACATAATGAATAATGCCAGGCAAAAATCGTTGCAATCCTCAATTGCAGCGAATAATTCGATTTATACTTAGATAAGATTTAGTTTTAGTTTTTAGTTTTAAGATATCAACTGTTATACTGACATGCATGCTTAGAAAACCTGTTTAAAATACTGAATTGCCAAGGCAGGAACGATGTAAAAACACTTAGATATATATCATAACAATTAAGGCTGGAAAGTTACTGTAGTAGCTGGAGCACCTAGGTTAAAATGAAATGAAATTTATTTTTAATTTGGAACAAATGAAGAGTTAAAAAACTAATCTAAAATTTCAATGGTCAATGAAATCACATTTCGTGTGTGACGATGAATTCAAGCGTGACTTTTATCTTGGCTCGAAAATGAACGTTAACAAATAAGAAAAGTTCAAGAGACCAAAAAGAGGAGAAAAAGAACAGGGGGGGGGGGGTGCAGCCAACCTAAATTAAAGGCAAACGTCATTTCTGACAGTGCTGATTCCTTTCCAAAATTTTGAAAACCAGCAAACGACTGGAGTAATGATACAAGTAATTTCAATGCGAAACAGCGAGTCGCTTCCTTGATGGTTGTCAATTATGTTCAACAAGAAATCCACCAGACACAACCGCAATATTTGCTTCAGGTGATCGAACAGCATCGCAAGAAGCACACTAAGAAATTGAAGAATACATTAAACTAAAATATAATCATTACAATCCTATGACATTTGTGTTAAAACATCTGGCATTTGGCATCTAAATTGACATGTTTTATGTGTCATACACACACTTTACCTTCTGTTCTTGCATCTTTTCAGTAAGAATTATCATTAAAATATCTCATAGCTTCATAAATCCGAAAAATAGCATTTTAGCTGTAATAAGCATTTGCAAGCTTGCCGTGAACAATATTGCTTCGCAACGCATCGACTCAGCTTATTTATTATCAAGACTTAATTTTTATGTACCTTCTCGTCAATTGCGTAATCGACATTTGTTCGCGGTAGATCGTCACCACACTAACTACGCGAAATATGAACCGATAAATCGGATGATGTCTGTTTATAATCTACACTGTGAAATGATAGACCTAAATATGTCACCCCCCAACCGAAAAAATATTTTCAAACACTGCGAAATAATGGATCATAAGTTATAATGTTATTATGTTGTCTGCGTTGATTGACGAATAAATAAATAATATATATTCAACTTTGCCTATTAGATTGAGCAAATATTTTTTAATAACACATCTGAAAATTCAATGCTTTACTTCCAATTATATGAGTGAGGGGACGGGGTATAGTAAGCCCCACCTTCCTAATTGTAACTACGCTTATGATATTGAGCAATTGTTTTTGAATTATTCATCTGAAAATACCTGCCTGTATTTTTTTTTTAAATCTGTCAATTTACACTTTTCGTAATTTTTCGCATTTTTATCTTTCTTGATATGCAGTAAAACTGATCGTAACAACAAAATACTTTTTGGTCATTGCAAAGCAACAACATATTTAATTTGTTCAACATTTGGACATCTAGAAGCAAAGTTAGAGTGACATAAGTGATTTTTTAAATACTTCCTTAGTAATTTTTGTTCAAATTTCAAATCATTCGCGCGGCCTCTAAACCTCCATCAATCTTTATCATTTTTTAACAGGAAAATCACCTTGTGAAGGTTTTATAAGATAATATTCATTTTCGTAAAACTCACAATACGTTGTAAGTGCTAATTGCTGTAAACAAAACCTTGTTAGATACCTATTCATAATTCTAAAGATCTTATCAAATGTTGTGAAAGAGCTGGCATAATGAAAGATTTACGTATGTTAATAGTTTAATAGTCCGCGTCAGCCTCTTTTCATAAAGTTCAACGTTTATGCTGAACTAATTCCAGGAAAGAGCA